GTTCAGGTAACACAAGGTGTTGCACCGAGTTGTACACCCGCAACCAACGCCGTTGGGGTCCCCAGCACTAAACTGGGAGGCTCCATTGTACATGTTACTCAGATGTGGCGCACACATGGGTACAGAGTACCTGAAGAGTTAATAAACTCTCAGTACATGACTTGTAGATTTTAAAATTGGTCTCAGGACATAGGATGACACCCACACGATATACGTGCAAATAGATTTAATTGTGCCAGATTGTTAAACATAGATAATGGCTTGGCAGCAATAACAAATAGCTTGAACGCTTCTGGTTCGGAAGCATAAAAGTTATTTGTGTTCTTAATAACTTTGAGCCCTGGTTCCTGGACTGTCAGTTTCCTCCGGATATGGAACTTAGTTTCAGGGTTTCTGTTGAGTCGTGCATCTTCCTCTGACACTTGACTACGGCAACCCCGCTGCATCCATTTCTGCGGATTGTATTGGGTAGTGTGAAAGCGTACATCAGTTGATCAAGGCTCTTGGGCCCATTCCTCCGTGGTCAACCGCGAAGGAATTTACACAACTACAGAATACCATGCTGTAAAGACAGTGAGGACCTCCTGAACGTCTAATAGACCGTCGCCTCCCCGTCGTAGCCGTCCGAGGCGTAGCATTTGGATAACCACCCCAGATTGCCCGAAATGTACGCTCTCCCGGGGGAGGGGGGCAATGGTTGTACGGGCGGAGGCGATCTCAGATCGAGAACGGTGACAGATGGCGAAGGGTGGGTCACCGAGCTTGCCCACACTGTAGGAACTGGCTTGGAAGGTAGAGATTCGTCGGCTTCCGTCGTGTCTCTGGATGCTACGCTAGCCGGAGTAGACGCATCACGCTCCACGGCTTGTGGCTTATCAGCTACGAGCTCGAATTCTGCCATCGATATGACCTGAATGGTCACATCTTCAATGTTCTTCGAAGGTGAAGACATGCATCCGGAGCAAAGCTGGTGAGGTGAGGATTGCACTGGCGTAGAGGCCATTGCCGTCTTGAGCCGCTTTCCTGTTATACTCTACGTGCGAAACGAGGTCGCACATTCTGGATATATATCGTTGGTACGCGGCGACCTTTTCGCCGAAGGCGACGAACCATCTACCAGACATTATACATTGCGCTAGGCCTTCCATCCACGGAGATGGCTTGCAAAATCTCTTATCAGACGCGACAAGCATCTCAACGCAACGAGGGCTCACCGGCTTTGATTTGTTAGGAGTAGATTTAGTGAAAATCAGAATACCAAAGGTCAATTACCACTCATACAGGACGTCTTCAACTTACTTAGTCTGGGGAGGTTCTGAAATGAGTGACC